GAACCAGCCATTGAAGTACACTTTACTTGAATCACTGCATATAATATTCTTAAGTATTACCCTTTTTGAGTGCAGCATTAGCAAGATCAAATTCTAGCATAGTGTACAGATACAATACAATACAATGTAGAGAGCCCTGATGAAAGAGGAACCTGGAACATGTTGACATTTTTTTTACGGAGTACATTTTTTTGAGAACACAATAAATTATGTAGACAACTCCTCCATTCTCCCCAATTACTTCTACCTGTTTGAAGCATCCTTGAAGGTTTTTTTCAAGTCTGTAAGCAGCCCATCCAGAGTCCACACACTCTACTGTACATTGTATTTTTCAAAGTGAGAATGAAATCTACTCTGGGTCTACATACCCTTTACAGTGAACCTGTACACATTGTTCTATTAGCAAGAGTTACTCAAATGGTAACTGCAAAAGCTCCATACTTCATACTCCAAACTTCTGTAGTGGATTGTGATAGACAGTCCACGTTTTATTAGATGATCAGTAAAATTACAATTTTATAGTCTTGCTACTATCTGCTTCTTGCTCTTAAAAATTCCTTACTCTCTTAAGTAAACAATCAGATATAGGTTGACAGAACAATGATGATAATTAAGATGGCGCCTTCATCCGGAGTCTCACCCTAGGTGACTCATTAGGAGAAAAGTATCTTTTAATGTAAACAACCCCCATAAAAGGGAATGAGTCTTTTTGGGGACAATGATAGGAAGATATCAACATGGATGGAAGAACACGCAGAAACCCAGTGGACTTTTCACCCAATCAATGTATATGCTTTGCCTGCATCATAAGACCAATAAATGATACTGTTTGTTCCTCAATAAAACAGAATTTTAGGAAGTTGGCAAACTGCAACAATGCCAGTGTCTTGCTTCCATGTGCACGTAATTCTATATTAATTTGGCTCACTGGTAGATCACGGTAAATGGTCTGTAGGTGACCTAGTCCAAAACACTTCTTTACAAGGCAATGCAAAGATAAATGATGTAACCAATAAGATTTCACCTTTAAAGAGAGACTGTCAGGATAGGATGTAAACCTTCCAATGCTGACTTGTTTTTAAATGTGCATGCTCCAAGGCTGTCATCCTTATTCTCGTTTCATTACTTAAAGTAGTTGTAAAGGCTTGAGGTTTTTTACCTACATGCATTCTATGCATGAAGGTAAAAAAACCCTCTGTGTGCAGCAGTGCCCCAGCCCCCTCAATACTTACCTCATTGCGATCCAGCAATGCCCATGACAGTCTTGGCTGCTTGCTATGGGGGCACCCGACAGGAGACAGGGGCCAGGAAAGCCTGCGGAGGACCCGCAAATTAATATCAGCTGGTTCAGTCTCAACTGATAGCCTGTAAAAAGGTCTCATTACCAAGGCAACACACAAGAACAATCTCATGATCAGTAAAAGCAAAGAGCTCTCTCAAAACCTTTGCAACCTTATTGTTGCAAAACATACTGATAGCAAAGGTTACAGAACAATTTCTAAACTTCTGACTGCTCCAGTGAGCACTGCTGGGGCCATAATCTGGAAGTGGAAAGAACATCAGCCAACAGCTACGACCAGGTGCTCCTCACAAGATTTCTGACAGAGGAGTGAAAAGAATTATCAGAACAGTTGTCCAAGAGACAAGGACCACTTGTGCAGATCTTCAGAAAGACCGGGAAATAGTAGGTACAATTGTTTCAAAGAAAACAATAAGTAATGCACTCTACCACCATGGCCTGTATGCTCACTATGCAAGGCTCCATTACTGAAGAAAAAGCACGTTGGAGCTAGTTTAAAGTTTGTGGCAAAACATTTAGACAAGCCTGTGAAATACTGGGAGAATATAGTCTGTTCAGATGAGACCAAAATTTAACTCTTTGGATGTCATAATACACACCATGTTTGGAGGTCAAGTGGCACTGCACATCACCCCAAAAACAAAATATCAACAGTGAAGTTTGGAGGTGGAAACATCATGTTGTGGAGCTGTTTTTCAGCATGCAGTACTTGCAAACTTCATATCATTGAAGGAAGGATGAATTGAAAAATGTACCAAAACATTCTTGATAGAAGTCTGCTGCCATCTACCAGGATGAAGAAGATGAAACGAGGGTGGACATTTCAGCAAGACAATGATCCCAAATACAAAGCCAAGGAAACTCTCAACTGGTTTCAAAGAAAGAAAATAAAGCTGCTAGAATAACTCAGTCAGTCACCTGACTTGAATCCAATAGAAAATCTATGGAAAGAACTAAAGATCAGAGTTCATAAAAGAGGCCCACAGAACCTTCAAGATTTAAAGACTGTGTGGAAGAATGGGCCAAAATCACACCTGATCAATGCATGCAACTAGCTTCTCCATACAGGAGGCGTCTTGAAACTGTCATTAAAAAAATATATTTTGTATTAAGTATTAAATAAATTTCAGTTAGTGTGTTCAATACTTTTTCCCTGAGCCATTCAATTTTATTACACATAACTTAATGTCTGAAAATTTCATGTCAATATCACCTATAGAAATATATTTACTGAGAAAAATGGTGATGTGTTCAATACTTATTTTACCCGCTGTATGCTTGTTTTGAGTCAGTGACGTAAAATGCAAGTGGGTGAGTGTGACAGCCTTGGAGCTTGAATCTTCTAAAACTGTCCAGTAATGCCTGCTTCCACAGTAAAAATGTAAAAACGTAGGAAGTCACATGACTAGTGATGAAACACATCAGGGGTGGAGTCTATGGCATCATCACACCAAACCCTAGCCTGGAGTGATGCCAATTTCCTGATGCTTCTTAAGGGGGCCATGTATTGAAATAACCCCTGCATGTTGTATATCTCTGTGGACATCATTTACTGCACTATAAAATGTGATTGTGTATTCCTATATTCTTAGTAAAATATAGTGCTGCTTTACACTGATGTGGTGCAGGATTTGCAGTGATTCCTGTGCGTTTCCCGCACTGCATCACAATCGCACTCTGTTCCTGCTAAGTGATGTGCGTGTCAATGTTAAGTTAACAACACCCCACTAACAGTTTGCAAGTTGTACTGTGATTGGCTGAATCAGATCACATGGGTGTGAACACCCATGCGATCTGATTCCAGTGTGGCAAAAAAGGTGCATGCACCTTTTTCATGCAGTTGCAGTGTGCTTTGAGCCATACAAATGAATGGGCTGAAATCGCACTGCAAAGAATTGCATGTAATTTGAACTGGAATGTGGTGCGATTTGTGTCCAAATCACATGGTTTCCTGCACCGCATCATTGTGAACCAGGACTTAAACTTTTTATTATGGTAAAAGCGCAATGATGGACTTTTATGATCTTGTTTGAGCTTTAAAGCGGAGCTCCACCCAAAAGGGAAGTTTTGCTTTAAGGACTGCTCCCCGTTAAGGATTGGCACCTTTGGGGGGCAGGGGGGGAGCGGGGACCCGAATTTTACAGGTACCCACTCCCACTTACGGTCCGATTGCCTAGGCGACTGGAATCAAAAGGTGTCCTCCCTCCCTCCCTGCAGTCTTTTGGGACACATGACAGGTCCCAGAAGACTACAGGACCATTCACGAAGCGCAGAGCTCCTCGCGCATGAACAGTGGGTACCCGGCTATGAAGCTGCAAGCTGTCACAGCCGGGTGCCCACACAGAAGATGTCGGCCTCCTGGAATACAGGACGGCCAGTGAAACGGGCTGCGGGGGAGACACCGCTGGGACCGAGGGACAGGTAAGTGGCTGTTTTTTTAAAAGTCAGCGGCTACAGTTTTTGTAGCTGTTGACTGTTATTTTTTGACAGGGTGAGTGGAACTCCGCTTTAAGCCTTCATGTAGAAGATTGATAATCCAGGAGGTGTAATCATGGAGAAGTGTTTGTAAATTCAAACAAATCTAAGCTAGTGGGATCCCCTTGGTGGGGGAACACAATATGTCCTACGCACATGTTCCTGCAGATGGCTATTCAGTATTGCTGGGTGCTTTAGTGATCACAGGCTGGGAACTGTACACAATCCAAGTGAAGAAATGTCACCAGCACACCACGGATTCCTCAAAATGGGTCCAAAGCTTTATTTCTTGGTAACATGATAAACGCAGAGAAATGTTTCGGAGGCACACAGGGCCCCTTATTCAGGGTCACAAACAAAGGGGCTCTGTGTGGCTCAAAAATGTTTCCCTGTGTTTATCATGTGACCACTAAATAAAGAATAAAGCTTTGGACCCATTTTGAGGAATCCTTGGGGTGCTAGTGACATTTCTTCACTCCAGGGTGGAGGAAGAGGCTTTGGGATCTATTCATATTTAGATCAGACAGGGAGGTGAGCATATGGTGTGGCTGGTGGCAGAGCTCACGTGGTGTTGCAATTGAAGCATAGCATATAAGCAGACAAGGGACTGCACATTAATGGAGAACTCTATTTGTCAAGATTTCACCAAATTATTTGGGCTTTGTTATATTTTGCACATTTTTTGGAGTGAATTTCGTGAGGGGGTTCCACCATTATGAATAAATCCAGTTTAACTGTGTTTATTTTTTTTGAATAATATTTGTTTATATTATTTGGACTTTGGTGTATACTGCACATCCTTGTATATGTTTGTGAAATTTTTATTTGAGGGGTTCTCACCACCATTCATAAATTATATCAAAATTGCAGATTTATATCTTTTATTTATTTATATGATTTGGATTGTGGTATGTATTGTGCGCTTTTGCACACGTTTTGTGAAGTTTGTATTTGAGGTGTTTCCGTCACCATTCACTAGTTCAGTTATATTTTATGATATGTTTTGCACTTTGTATATTTGAGTACTCAGATGGTATATTGATGTATGAAAATGTAAAAGGTTTCCACCATCATTCATAAATTATATCATAATTGCATTCATTTATGACATTATAATTCATATATGACAGTGAGTATCAAATAGGGTAATGCTGCAGCATTCATTGCACTTTGAATGTCTGATTCCACAGTTCTGCCCTGACACATTCTTTTAAACTTAAAGTGTAACCAGGGCGGACTGACCATTTGGAAACTCGGGCACTGCCCGAAGGGCTGGGGTCAGTAGGGGGCCCCATGAGATGCCCCTGGTACCTTTTTCATAGGCTTTTTTGAGTTTGGACAGCGACACAGGGGCCCCATTATCCCCTTTTGCCTGGGGGACCCATGAGTTATCAGTCCGCCCCTGAGTGTAACTGCACCAAAGATTTGGGTCAGTGCATGTCTGTACTCGTATTCTATATTCTAACCTATGGTGCTTCCAAGTACAAGCTTGTATTCTGGACTAAATCTCCATAGGAATGTAATAGAGCGCAGAGTGCATGCACGTACCTGTACAGGATGTTTTTCTACACATAGCTTTACACAGTGGCATACCTAGCACATCTGAGCTGATAATGTTTTTTATACTTCCCCCCCAATAAAAAAAAAAAAAGAAATATGGCCTGAAAAAATAAAGTGGCATGTGTAGTGCACTGCAATGACTTGTGAGAGCGGCCAGATTGCGTTAACAGTAAAAAAGGCCTAAAGGAAAAGTTCACCTTTGGGAACGGGAACAGGTTACATGTTCCACCCATTTGTAGGGTGGAACATGTAACATGTGTCCACTTCCCCCCATCCCTGTGACAGCATTACAGGGAGAAGTTCCCCATACTAGCTGTCAGCTTTTTAAATCAGCGTGGCCGTGCAGGCCTCCGCCCACAAGGCCACAGAGTTCTGTGAACTACAACAGGGATTGAAAAAGCTGCACGCGCCCGCTCGCCAAATGCGAGGAGAAATTCCTCTGTGGTGAGCGGTGAGCGTCTGCGAGCGGCGAGCAGAGATGAAGAAGCATGGAGCGACTGCACATGCGCTCCAAGCCTCATTGTGAAGCTGAGTTCTGGTTTACAACTTCCGGTTTCCACGGCATCGCCATTACAGTGGCAGCGCCGCTGAGGAGACACATGCAAAAGAGGTCCGCTCTCCTACGCTGAGAGGAGACACCCTCTCCACCGCCGCGGGGGACTCGAGGCTTGCTCTCCACTGCCCTGGGGGACACGAGGCCCACTCTCAATCGCCTTGGGGGACACGAGGCCCGCTCTACACCTCCTTGGGGGACATGAGGCCCACTCTCAACAGCCTTGGGGACACAAAGCCCGCTCTACACCTCCTTGGGGGACACAAGGCCCACTCTAGACCTCCCTGGGGGGACACGAGGCCCACTCTACACTTCCTTGAGGGACACGAGGCCCACTCTCCACTGCCTTGGGGGACACGAGGCCTGCTCTTCACTGCCTTGGGGGACACAAGGCCCTCTCTACACCGCTTGGGGGCACAAGGCCCGCTCTACACCGCCTTGGGGGACACGAGTAAGTTTTGTGCCTGGCTAGTAGGTCTGGACTTGAAATTTTAACCCCTGAACTACAAGTACCAACATCCTTTGTGGTAGTTCTCAATGAACTACCACAGTGCTGTGAATCGCTGTGGAAGTTAATTCAGTCTTCCTATCATAGTTAAACTGTCTACTATTACAAGGTACAAGCACACAGATTAGGCCTCATGCACACAGGGCATTTTTGCAGCCACTTTTAGGGGCATCGGGTGTTTCTTTTTTTACTGCTTCCAAACGGTGCTCCATATTATTCTGTGTGTCCATGCACACATAGACTTTTAGAAGTTTTTAGTAGCAGTAACATTTACCAGCAGGGCCAATGCGTCCAGGAGCGTTTTGGCAGAAAAAACGCTGACAGCTCCTAAACTGCTAAACACCGGTGCCCAGCGTTTAGCAGAGTTTTTTTTTTTCACTGATTGTTAAGGAGAGGGCTGGGAAGCCGGCTGCTGCGTTCTTAACAATGGATGCGTCATCAGCTGTCAGAGGGGTTACCTGCTGACAGCTGAATGTAACATGGGGTATGCTGGGTCAGTGAAATCACAAGGGGTGGGTCTCCCAGTGACATCACCAGATGGCCCTACCCCTTAGTTATTTAAGAGCTGTCAAATGGCGGAGCTGCCAAACGGCAGGAGCCTTCGTTGGGACCAGAGGTTTTTTTTCTTTCTTTGGGTCGTCGGTGGCAGCGGGCATAGTGATTGACAATGGATCTACACCGACTTTTTTTTAATTGTTTAATAAAGGACTTGTAAAAGACTTGTGTTGTGTTTTTCTTTACTTTTTACACTTTTTTTGGTGCATGAGTGGAGATACTGTGTACCTCATACTCATTCACATGGGGGGCGGGAACTGAGGGCTCCTTTATTAAAGGGGGCTTCCAGATTCCGATAAGCCCTCCCACCTGCAGACTCCCACAACCACCAGCCAGGGTTGTGGGGAAGAGGCCCTTGTCCTCATCAACATGTCGACAAGGTGCTTTGGGAGGACCCCCCTGCCCCAAAGCACCCTCCTATGTGATTGGTACCCCAGGTAAGGTTCAGGAGGGGGGGGGGTGCTCGCTTGTTCCCCCCCCCAACTTTCATGACTTGCCATGTTACATGCTCGGATAAGGGTCTGGTATAGATTTTGGGGAGGCCCATGCCTTTTTTTTTTTATTTTAGTATGGGGTTCCCCTTAAAATCCGTATCAGACCGAAATTACCTGGTTGGGATGGGGGAACCCCCATGCCGTTTTTTCACATTTTTTTTTTTTATTTTTTTTTTACATTCAGCTGTCAGCTGGGATTCCTGCTGACAGCTGATGACTCAAACATTGTTACGAACATGGCGGCCAGCTTCCCGGCCCTCTTCTTAACAATGGTGGCCCCTCCTTAACATTGAGGCTAATAAATGTAGCTTACACACTAGGCTAAACACTGCTAAACGCCGGCAAAAAAAAAAAAAAACGCTATAACATTAGAACTTTTTATCCACCATTTCTAAAGCAGTTTTTAGCTTTTCTAGGGTGCATGAGACCTTAAACTAACAGTGTGCTGGAAACCTGCATGGCACCAACAATCTGCTGATTGTTGGTGCAATGTTTTACAGACTCCAAAAAAACCCCAACAAATGCAGATTTTTTTACTCACAAAAAAATGCGCATTTATTATTTTTTAAAGTGAACTTATCCTTTACAGTGCATAGTTGGAAAAAAAAATCTGAGCCTCCTCCTTTTAATACACAGTACACATATGTCACGGTATTTTTATCCACAAAATATACTTTAATGTCTGTTTCACAAGCAAGAGTGTAACAGACATATACAAATTAACCTATTTTAATAAAATGAAACTGTTCCATTACATATACACATCTAACCTTAAAAAAAAATATTTCAGGAGTAATGTACTTAGAGTGCACTCATCAGGAGTATAACATGTAAAACAGAGTGAGGGCAATTTATCAAAACTGGAGCAGACAGAGTCTAGAGCAACTGCGAATGGCAAACAATCAGCTTCTACCTTCACCATGTTCAGTTTTGCTGTGAAAAAGACTGGTTGCCATGCTCCTTTGTTCCAGTTTTGATAAATTCCCCCAAGTGTCTACAGTGCAGGGGTCAGAGTGCATAGCACAAAGGCAACTTTCAAAATTACCCTCTATTCCCAGTAAAAATCCTCCCCCCAAAACTCTGTATCCCCCATAGTACAGATCACCCCAGCACAGAATGGCCCCTTCCTTCCCTAGCACAGACCGCTCAGCACAGCTAAAAATCTCAGCACAGACCAGCCCCTCAGTGCAGACACCCAATCAGTAAAAACCCCTCAGTACAAACTTCCCCGACACAGACACCTCAGCACAGATGAACCCAGCCCCCCCAGCAAAATCCAAACCCCAACACAGACCCCCCCAGTAAAGACTCCTCCACAGCACAGACCTGCCCCCCCAGCACAGACCACCTCAATACAGACAGACCTACCCGGCATCCTCCCCCATCATAGATCTATTAGCACAGGCTGATCCCCCCAAAGCACCAAGCCCTCAGCACAGATTGACTCCCACTCCAGCCCCGACTTGTCTGTACAGACCAACCCCCCCAGCACAAACTCCTCAGTACAGATGCCCACCAGCATAAACCCCTCAGTACAGAGACAGACCCCCAATACAAACCCCAGAGTACAGATTGATCCCCCAGCACAGACATGGATAGAGATGGACCCACAGACTGATTACTCAGGACAGATTGCCCCAACAGCATAGACCTCTCAGTAGAGATGGAACCCCAGCACAGATTAACCCCCATAACACAGACCCTTCAGTACAGATGGATCCCCAGTACAAACCTCTCAGTACAGATACCCCCCCCCCCCCCCGCGCAGACTGCCTCCACCAGCATACACCATGTAGTACAGATGGACCCTCTAACACAGACCCTCAGTACAGGTGAACCCCCCCAGAACAGATTGAACCCCCCACCAAAAACCAACCCTACCCCAGCACAGGACAAGCCCCCCAAGGACAGACCAATCAGCACAGATCTACCCCCAGCAAAGACCCCTCAGTACTGACCCCTCTGCATGGAAGGATCCCCCCTGCACAGAGCCCCACCTGCACAATCCCCTCAGTACAGAGCCCCCCTAGCACAGACCCCTCAGTACAGATAGACCCCCCAGTACAAATCCCTCAGTACAGACTGACCCCCTAACAATCGTAAATATCCCCTTACATAGACCCCTCAGTACAGACACCACTCTCCCCAGTACAAACGCCTTAGTACAGACAAATCCTGAAAGAGATCCAATCTTTACCCACGCTCCTAAACAAATTGTTTTATTGCTCTCTGTATCTCACGTCCAGTCCCTGTGACCCCTGTCACCAAATGTGGAAAGTAGAAGTTTCAACATTGAGGCTGCAGACAACAATAAAAGCCTAAAAGAAGTTCTAATCCCTTCCCTACTCAAACAAATAAACAAGAGTTTTCTGTTCAATAGTTTTTATTTGGTTTCCTGAAAAAGTGAGTTCTACAATACATGAACATTGAAATATTGTCATGCTTTTCTGTTTTACATAAGTAGTACAATGCTGTGTCATCTACATGTATATACATATCTACATATATATATGTTCCCATCATTTAGTTTATCAGATTAAATTTAACAGCAAAGTGGAATATATGCCTCGCATTGACCATCAACATATATGGTCTTATTTACCAGGTTAAGCTATGTCTAATTATACTAGAGATAAGGAGAAGGAAAGAAAAACAAAACACAGAATAGCAAAGAAGAATAGAACAAGCCATAAAGTAAGAAAGGCAAACAGAAGTAGGCTAAGTAGGATACATTGTCTAGTTGTTTAAAATTAATTATCTATCTTCCTGGGATATAAAAAGATGAAAAAGACAAAAGACTATTAATACAATTATTTAGTTGTAAACTTTTCCCATAGGGCCCAATTTTTATTAAACTTCTGTATCCGAAGCTCAGAATAAGCTATGTGCTTTTCATATTCATATGTTAATTCTAGATGTTGTTTGACCTCTAATAAAGTAGGAGGTGTGTTAGATTTCCATTTTTTCATAATGGCAAGTCTTGTTGCTAATAGAATATGCGTGGCTAAGGATCTACGGTCTGTAGGGATATTATCTATACCTATGGTAATAAATAGGTAATAAATAAGTCAAATGTTGGTTTTAATGATTGTTCAATTATCTGAATCAACAATTTAAACATTTTTTCCCAATATCTCCTCAGTTGCGGACAAGCCCATAGCATGTGTATTAATGAGCCTGTCTCCTCCTCAAAATACTACACTCCCTCGGCCTCAGAGATTCTGCTCTCTCCTGGCTCTCATCCTACCTGTCACAACGCTCTTTCAGCGTTACCTATAATGCTACCACCTCCCCCTCACTCCCCCTCTCTGTTGGGGTCCCTCAAGGCTCTGTCCTTGGGCCCCTTCTCTTCTCCATCTACACCTCCTCCCTTGGCCAACTCATACACTCTCACGGCTTCAACTACCACCTCTATGCCGACGACACACAAATCTATCTCTCAACCCCCCACCTCACCCCCTCGGTCTCTGCCCAAATCACACACCTACTGAGCGACATATCAGATTGGATGTCGCTCCACTTCCTTAAACTGAATCTCTCCAAAACCGAGCTCCTTGTCTTCCCCCCAGCCCGAACCCCACCCCCCATTGACTTCTACATCACATCCAACAACGCCAATATCAAACCCGCTCTGCAGGCCAGAGTACTTGGTGTCATTCTGGACTCCAACCTATCCTTCCAGCCCCAAGTCCAATCTTTAACAAACTCGTGCAGACTCCACCTCTGCAACATCGCCAAAATCCGCACGTTCCTAACCCCAGAAACCACTAAACAGCTCATCCACTCCCTCATCATATCACGACTCGACTACTGCAACTCCCTCCTCACTGGCCTGCCTCGCCGCTGGCTATTCCCGCTTCAGTCGATCCTGAATACGGCTGCCAGACTCATTCACCTTTCCAACCGCTCCATTTCCGCCACCCCCCTCTGCCAATCCCTCCACTGGCTTCCGATTGCGCAACGGATCAAATTTAAAATCCTAACACTGACGTACAAAGCTGTCCACCATACTGCCCCGAACTACATCACTGACCTAATATCCAAGTACCGCCCAGCACGCACACTCCGCTCCTCACAAGACCTCCTTCTCTCTAGTTCCCTGGTCTCCTCCTCCCATGCCCGCCTCCAGGACTTCTCCAGGGTGTCACCCATCCTCTAGAACTCCCTGCCCCAACCCATCAGATTATCACCTACTCTCCTCTCCTTTAGGCGCACCCTGAAAACCCATCTCTTCAGGGAAGCCTACCTCACCCCCTGCTAACTTGCTGACCTCCTCCACTCTTCCTACCACTCCATCCCCCACAGCTATCTCCTCCTGTACCACTGCCCCTCCCTTCTAGATTGTAAGCTCGAAAGAGCAGGGCCCTTGATCCCCTCATGTTTTGCATTGTATTGGTATTGTTCTGTCACATGTTCTGTCCCCCTTTGTAATGTACAGCGCTGAGTGAACTATTGGCGCTTTATAAATACTGTATAATAATAATAATAATAATAATGAGCCATGGAGCCTGTATCCCCTCCAGCATCTGTCTCCTAATGTTGGTGCAAAGTTTGCAGTGATGTGGGGAGTTATATACCAGCTCAGGTGTATTTTTTATGATAGTTTCCAATATGTGGAGCACTTAGAAAATGTATAATTGGTGGAAATAGCTGTCCACCACTATTCTTCAATATAAGAAGTTTGTAGGACTGATTTCCATTTTATATAGGAAAAGTATTTGGAAAAGTTAAGTTTATTTTGTAGTAGATTGTAAATGATGGTTATGCTTTTGGTTTTATGCAAGGTTCCTGTCCAATAAACCCAAGATGGAATAGGCAATTTCATTTGGGGAACTGAGTTGCGTATACAGTATGCTCGCATGTTGTGTAGGAAAGAAATTGTGTTTGTGGTATGGATAAGTTTGTATGAAAATGAGTAAAGAGTTAGAGTTCCCTTGTGAAATATATCAGAGATGTTTATGTTATCTACATTAGGCCATTTTTTGAGGGAAATGTGTGGAGTAAGAAAATTAACATTAACATTTAGGGAGATAGGGACATCAACTATCTTCGCTCTCCTGCTATATGATTGCAGGAATTGTCTCCACTCACACTGTCTCAATTATTGGATGCTCAGCTGAATGCTTATACTGTAGTTTGGGGTTGAATGAGCTAATAAAATATGTTTTAGTGAGCCTGTAGAGCAGTGGTTCTCAACCGTCCTAATGCCGCGACCCTTTAAAACAGTTCCTCATGTTGTGGTGACCCCCAACCATAAAATTATTTTCGTTGCTACTTCATAACTGTAATTTTGCTACTATTATGAATCGTAATGTAAATATCTGATCTGCAGGATGTATTTTCATGATTTTACATTTACCCAGTAATTATAATTCATGAAGTGTTGTTTTACCTCCAATACTGCTGCTTTCTACACAGTAGCTGCTTTCCACACAGTAGCTGCTTTCTACACAGTAGCTGCCCTTTACACATGTGTGACTGGTCCACATAAGTACATTATGGCGCCAACCCTGTCACATACTTCTGTATTTGTACAGGGTGTATGTGATGGGGTTGGCGTGATGATGTCATCACGCCGGGTACTCGTATGTGGGTGTATCTGCATGTGGGCGGACCCACCTGGAGACGGATAGAGGAGCGGTGTTTCGGTTCCTAAGACCATCAGAAATATGTGTTTTTCAATGGTCTTAGGCGACCCCTGTGAAAGGGTCGTTCGACCCCCAAAGGGGTCGCGGCCCCCAGGTTGAGAACCACTGCTGTAGAGGCATAATATTGCTCTGTTGATGCCCATTTTGTAGATGTGGTGGGGTTGAACCAAAATTTAATTTGGTCTAATATCGAGTCTTTTAAATCATGAAGACCCATTCCCTCTGCACTTTTGTGTTTAATCAGTATTTTACAGGCACATCTAGATTTAGTGCTTTTCCAGAGATACGATGAGAGTAGACGTTGCAGTGTGTTAAAAATGAATTAGGCACTAGTATGGGAGGGGCATGGAAAACATATAAAATTTTTGGGAGACTAATCATTTTAAATGCCGCCAACCTTCCTGACCAAGACACGTAGTATTCCCTAAATTTATTTAGTTCTAGTTGTATCGTGTTCAAGAGAGGGATGTAATTTGGTTGGTATAGTGTAGAAATTGGATATGACAGTTTGATACACAAATATGATAAGGGACCTACAGACCATTTAAATGGTACCACACTTTGCAGTAGGAAGACTACTTCCTGATCTATGCCTGCATTCAGTACTATCGATTTAGATTAGTTGATTTTAAAATATGATATGGTGCTAAATTCTTGTAATATATTATGGATATTAGGCATTGACTTTTCTTGGTCAGAGAGTGTTAGTATGACATCATCTGCAAATAGCAATATAATGCTCTGGTGGGGTCCTATTATAATCCCTGATATGTTAGGATGAGATCTTATTTTTTTCTGTTAGAGGCTCAATCATCAGCGTAAATATCGGAGGCGCTAATGTGCAGCCTTGATGGGTGCCATTTGTGATGGGAAAGCATACCTTCTTATAAACTTTTGCTGATGGTGAAGTATAAAGGACCATTATTGCAGAGTGGATGGGGACTATCAGGCCGAATTTATGGAATGTTTGCGAAAGATATCCCCAGTGAATATGGTCAAAAGCCTTTTCCATGTCCAGGGTTACTAATGATGCGGGAACTTTATGGTGGGAGACATGGTATAAGAGTTTGATAATACACCTTGTAGCATCTGGTGCCTGCTTTCCTAATACAAATTCTACTTGATCAGGTTGGATAAGTGAGGGGAGAAAGCTAGCAATGTGGTTGTCTAACATTTTAGCATATCATTTTAAATCAATGTTGAGTAAGGAAATTGGTCTGAAGATTTTCAAGAAGCTCTCTCTGCCACATCAAGAATTTGCCACTCTGTGAGAAGAGAAATGCTGTTATCTAGATTTTCTATTATATATCCTTCGCCATTTTTGGTGATGGTAAGCTTGGCGAGGTAGCCCCAGCAATATGGGATTTGGTGGTTTCTCAACGGTTTTGTTATGGTAGACAGATTGCCTCTCTTTTCTAAGGTGTATTGAGAAAGAACAGCAAATAATGCCCTGTAGGCATTTAGGGAGCTTATCAGCACATCTTGTTAGTGCTAGGAATTCCTCTTTGATATGGTAGAAATTTATTCTTACTAATGTGTCTCCTGGCATCTTCTCAGGGAGATGTGGAAGTTTAGGGAGGCGATAGATACAGTCTATTGTCCTTTGTTCAACTGAGGAATCCGGCAGGGCCTCCACCAGCAGATTGGAAAAATAGGCTCTTAGTTCCCAGGCTTAACAGATTCAGGAATACCTCTTATTTTTACATTGTTTCACCTACAGCAATCCTCCAGATCAGCTAGTTTGCCTTTTATCCATGTTAATTCCTCTTCCCAGTCATTATGGGCATCAACCAGTTTATTGAAAGTTCCAGCAAACTCTCCCATTTTATTTTCTATATGGAAAAACACGGTCTCCCGTTTCTTGCATATCTGATTTATATTGCTTCATACACTGCTATGATATCAGATTGTATGGAACGCTTCAGTGATACCAGCATGTCTTTAAGAGTTGTGTCCATTACAGGCTGGTTAGTAGTTGGGAAGGCCAGAATGGAGCCAGGTAGTTCTCTGGTATCACCTTAGGAATGATCAGAGACATACATCTCTGAAGCGTGTACTTGTGACATCTTCTGTTTAGATTTAGCTGGGCTTTGTGATGAAGAAGAAGCCTGAGATGGAGAGCCTATAAGGCTGTGTGAGGAGTGCTGTGCATTGTGCCCTAATGGCCGCATGTTACCTTCCTGTGGCTGCTGGCTCCATGAGGAAGATAAAAGGGCTGCCTCTGCTGCCATATTGGGATGTCTGTCGAGCCGAGGAGGTGAAGAAGTCGGCAAGTTTGCCCAACTGTGCTAGTCTTTCCCCTTTCTCCTGGCTCCCATTCGGTTCCCGCTGCTGTGGGGAGCCTGTGGCTTTGTTTTTTTGTTTTTGGCTGCTTTCTGGCGATGATGTTCGCTCCGGTGGGTCCCGGTCTATAAAAGCTGCATGCTCACGCGGCCATCTTAGTCTGCGTCCGGCTCCATCACCCCCCCCCCCAAATAAACAAATTTTATGTTAAGAGAACAATAGAGTATGATTGCTGATTGGTGCCTATGGATACTGAACTACATTGCCCATTGCCTTATTAAATAAGGGTTGCATTGCAAGTAATAAGAATTACAATTTTTTGCATATCCACTAACCCAGAAAAGAGCTAACAGGAACATTTTTCAAATGTTCTGATTCATGTTTTATGGTAATCAGCATCTCTGGGTAATATCAGGTTGCAATACATTGTTCAGTAATGCAAAGAACATGGCTGCTTAAGGAGCCATGTCCAAATGAGATACATTTACTTTACAGCTGAAGTCTAAGCACATATAAAAGATACGAATCAATGCAGATCTGTATTCATTACTACAGTACATCACTAAATGTATTTTTTTTTTCAATGCAAGAAGAGTATGTAACTTTGACCTGGTATCTTCCAATATTTGTAAATGCAGGGCTGGGGTGTAAAAGGAAGAAGCAGTACAAAGCCAATCAGTTCATATGCTGACAAGAAGCATGCTGATCGGAGGAGAATGCATAGTGAAAGAGAAATTATCTTATTACTGATGCTTTTCCTCTTACTGTCCAGTCACAGGCTGAGGTGGGTTCAGAATTACTTGGTCTCAGTGGAATGGGTTGAATGAGGCTTGACTTCAGATTGAGGTAATTTAGTATTAGAAAAGAAATACTGCAGGAAGGAGTTTCAAAGTGAAGGTGGATAATGCAATAAAGGCTGTTTTTTATATAAAATGTTTTTTTTTAACAAATTATACAGAAACATGTAGATAACAGGTCATCCATAGGAGATCCAAAACATTAAGAGTATTAACCAAAAAATCGAGTATCTAGCTGCTCATGCCCAATATGAATATATATGAAGGACCCCCCCTATATGGGACATTAATGCAGCAACCATAATACATATATTCATAAAGATTTGTTTAAAAGAAGATACATGCTTTATTCCATATACATACTTATAAGAGATAAATAATTTTAAGAAATTTTGACTCTGACAATTGTACAAGGTACTTCCTTCACAGCATAAAAAAAAACTCCCAAAGAAAGGGAGACTACCCGACGTGTTTCGATCATTCCATTTTTTTATCTTCTTCAGGGTGCATGTATGCAGGAAGAATTTCTAGATAGACATATAGAAGTAAGTGATAATATATACATGGATGGTAGATAAATGACATTGAAATAATTACCATAATGATACTAACAAAAAAATGATTAAACAGACATTAATCAGAGCAACTGTGAAGTAATAGTGTCCAGAATGAGACCGCATGTTCCAAAGCCTCAATGACAAGGGCCATCAAAAAGAGCAAGAGAGGTCAAATATCCATCCTAATGCTGACAGCAAACGGGGAACATCAAATCACCCTCAATATTCCTCTAAAAACATCATAGAATATATAATGTAAGTTAAATACAAGGCTAGTTGGACAGGTATAAAAATTGGTGTTCTGATAAATATATGAAAACAAAACTAACCATATTGAAAATATGGTAGGTGAGCACTAAGAACTAAGGTGCTTATTGTGGTGAAGATGTCACGATCTCCCGGAAACACAGATTTAAAGCAGTTATTTGATCTATAATGAGAATCAGAAAATATTAAATATTGGCATAACTGCCTATATTAATGCAACAAATCACTATTGCAACTATCCATAATGCTTACTGAGCTGTAGAGCAATAGAAATATTCCAAATCCCAATAGACAAAGTTGTGTCCAGGTTCCTTGTCTAGAATGAAAAAATCAGACAAAGCTATGAGAGTACTGACAGGACTCCCCATACTAAAAAAAATACTTCTCTTCACCAACAAAGCAAGAATTTGATGCTCACCAGATCGTCAAGATCACACAACGAACCACCCTCAGAGTAGAAGCCAACAGCCAGCTACAGCAATGCATCCAATATATATGGATCCCAATTAAATATGATTATCTTATTAGAGGTTGATTCAGTGAACCTGTGCTGTCAAGAAGGCGAAGTGGAATTACCACCAAACGGCGCCAAAGATGTCGTCTCAATGTGGCCGCCCCGGCGTCCATGAGGGAGATCTCCTCCCTCGGAATCCGCCGCCGACACCCATCGCAAAAATGTGATGTCATGACCACGTGCCGGCACCCAGCGTGCAGGTGCAAACCACGGCGTGTGCATGACCGGAGCCGTATGACGTCCGGGGATGTTGCAGGCATGGGAAGTAGCCGCGTACAGGCTGGTGGATGAAGTGACCTTCCTCTCCACCGCAGAAAGTGTCAGCCCACAGGGAACACCTCCCTGCGGAGCCAGCCATATCCTGCGCCAGATGCTCAAAAGGAGGGCCACTCGTTGAGACCAGGGCCAGTGTCATCCCGGAAACCATCTGACAATCGAAAAGAACAGCAAGAAAAATACATTAATCATGACATGAAATAATTCAAATACTACTACAAAAAAAAAAAAAAAATATATATATATATATATACACAGGGTGAACATGTATATTTTGGCATGGCTAGTCAGCACACCTTCAATTCTTTGGGTATGCACCAGTCACATCCTCCTGGTTTTTTAGGTCGAACTCGGGGGAGAGGCCTCCGACAGGGGAGACCGGGTCGGAGCATAGAATATTACCTGACCTGAACTTAACTACTACATTAAATATCGTCAATTTGTCCTCATATACGCTAACTCAAACTGAAAAAAATGTATTGTCTAGAGGGCTGAGTTTTTGTCCATACCAGAATGCCGATGAATTTGAGGTGGTCAAAGATCTCCAGTTGTTTGCCTGAAAACACTCCCTTAGATGTGCACATGCTAAATCTGATAATAGGACAGAATCATTTGACTGGTGATCCAGTAGGGATTTCAAAGCCCTTTGGGATCTGACTCTCCTGTTGAAAGAAAGCCAATCGAGTGATCTCATTGATCAATTGGATCTTGACTTATTATTAGGTGATACCAATAAGCCTCAGTTTGACCCTTTAACCCAGTTCAAAAAAACGTCCTCGAAATTTTCTACATTGAATAATTATTCGAGTATTGCAATATTTCTGAAGCAAACTTTGAGGGATATTAAAAAACTCTCATATAATTGGACAAAGTACGATAATCTGTTTAAAGGAAGTTTTTTTTTGATCTGTGATGAAAGAGGCTCCCAGAATGATTTAATTTTTGGATATATCTGTCATGTGTAGAGCAACATACCATTCCGTGTGCATCCTCATCATCACCTTGCAGAAGTGCCAGGAACTATAATGGTCAGTTGTGAGGGAGCACAAAAGCTGCTTTTTAATGTTATTTTTTATTGAACTATTCATTTTTATTTTAGGCTGGAGTTCTGCTTTAAATAAATGCACACATGTGAAATAGTGCATTGTCTAAATCTTTTCCCAAAGAAACAGGCCTGCTATCTAGCTCTAGAAGTTGCCTCGCACCTGGTTTAGACTACCATGTAGGTAAGTATTTACGAGATGACTGTATTTCTACTAATGACGGAAAAGAAATGTGTGATGGACAATTACATAAGGAAAGGTCACCTCTTTCCCTCTGGTGCCTAGGCACAAGCCTACTGAGTTTAATAGCAGATCTGCCCATTCTTCACACCTGATTTAAAATGACAGTTTGTGGATGCAGCAAACAGTCAGAGCTCATTCCCTTCCTTTTAGGATAGGTTCACACCTATGCAGTTTGCATTTGATCCATTTCTGCAGTGCTTTTTTACGGTGCATTTTGTGTTTTGCACATGCATTTTTGATGCGTTTTGATGTTTTTTTTGTCCAACTTGTTGCTGGGTAGATAAAAAATGAAAATTGTTTCTAGACACACCAAAATCACATGAAAAACACACTACTTGCATTTCTGCAGTGTCTCCATTAAAGTCTATTGAACTAAAACGCAACATTTTTACGCTTTAAAAAGTCCCTAACCCTTTCCAAAAATGGCACCGGATGAAAATTCAGAGATGTGAATGTGTCCCATAGGAAATAATGTTAAATGGACTGTAGTGCATTTCTGAAAAATACAAAACACAAAGCAAAATGGTTAGGTGTGAACTTAGGAGTCAAGAATGTACTGACATAATAATTGAGGACAGGAAGATCAGTATTTGAAAAAAAATTGTTTTTGCATTGGATCCATTTCTGCAGTGCTTATTGTGGTGTGTTTTGTGTTTTTGCACAAGTGTTTTTGATATGTTTTGCATTTTTATGGGTTTTTTTAGCCAACGTGTTGCTGGGCAGATTGAAAATGCAAAGCGCATCAAAAACACATCAAAAATGCATCAAAAACGTACTACATGCATTTCTGCAGCATCTCCATTCTAGTCTATTGAACCAAAATGCAACATTTTGCATTTAAAAAAGTCCCTGACCCTTTCCAAAAATCACATTGGGTGAAAACACGGAGATGTGAACATGTCCCATAGGAAATCATGTTAAATGGACTGTAGTACATCTCTGCAAAATGCAAAAGGCAGAGCAAAATGCTTAGGTGTGAACCTAGAAGGCAATAATGTACTGACATAATAATTGAGGACAGGAAGATCAGTATTTGAAAAATATGTTTATGCATTGGATCTTAGAAGCCTTCAAGAAGACTAAAATTTCATACCGATGCTCTGTATTTTGCAAAGCTTTTTTTTGGCACCTCTGTGTTTCCAGGGCTACATAGTTTCACATACCATTAAAATATGAATACATTTTATCTTTGTTAACATTTTCCAGAAATAAAATGAGTATTGAAAAAATGAAAACTGTTTGAATGTTCTCACTATAAATTGAACCGTGCTGTTGCTTTATACACATAATGTACTGAACATGCAATTTTTTTTTAATTCACATTTAAAAATTATGAAGATTTGACTTTAAAATCAAGGCTAGTTCTGGGGGTAAGCTGGCCAGTACAATTTGTTCATCTCTGTGTGTAATTTGAAAACATTGATGCATTCACTGGCATTGGGCATAGAATAGAGTACCAGTATAAGCTGTTCTTCTGGTGCTTTTTCTGCTCCGTAATTAAACTTCTTTTTTACATGTCAGCTTTGCACGTTCTGTGGCAGTACAATAGAATCCAAGCCAACTTCACGTCTGCTCCAGGTCTCATTAATAAAAGGCTGCTTAAAACCCACTGGATTTCTACAATTAAGGTGACACTGAATGTGAAAATAAATCACTTGGCATAGCTATAGTTTTGGTCATTACTACTCTGTACATGTTGTAACTCAAGCATTAAATAAAAAACTATAGGTCAAATTACATTTCCCAATGACATTAACAAATACTTGCTTAGCTGTGAGAGACTGAAGCAAAGAAAAAAATTGCAGTCCATAGCAACAGCTATAACACCAGCCTATCTTGAACAAACTCCTACACTGATCCCCCATAGTATTATCATGAACCACCTAAAATTGAGTAGGTCCCTTTTTGTTTCAAAACAGCCCTAACCAGTTGAGGTATGGATGCCACTAGACCTCTGAAGGTATGCTGTGGTATCTGCCGCCAAGTCGTCAGTGGCAGATCCTTTACGTCCTATAAGTTGCAAGGTGTGTCCTCCATGGATTGGACTGGTTTTTCCAGAACAACACAAATATTCTCGATGGATTGAGGTCTGGAGCATTTGGAGCCCAAGCCAACACCTTGAACTTGTTATTATGTTCCTCTTTTTTGAACCATTTTGCACTGTGACAGGTTGCATTACACTGCCAAAAGAGGCCACTGCCATCAGGGAATATTGTTTCCATGAAGAGGTGTACTTGGTCTGCAACAATGTTTAGGTAGGTGGCAGGGGCGGACTGACAAACTCATGGGCCCCCCGGGCAATAGGGGATCATGGGATCCCTGTGTCCTTGCCAAAACTCAAAAAAGCCAATGAAAAAGGTACCAGGGGCATCTCATGGGGCCCCCTACTGACCCCGGGCCCTCAGGCAGTGCCCGAGTTTCCAAATGGTCAGTCCGCCCTTGGTAGGTGGTACATGTCAAGTAACATCCACATTAATGGCAGGACCCAAGGTTTCCAAGCAGGACATTGTTCAAAGCATCACACTGCCTGCGCTGACTTGCCTTTTTCAATACTGAATCCTGGTGCTATCTCTTTCCCAGTTCAATGATGCACACACACCCAGCCCACACATCCATCTACATGATGTAAGACCCCATTCACACTTGACCGTTTTTCAGCTCAACGCTCAAAATACTCAACAAGTAAAATCCGATTATTTCTATGGTCCCTGTTCACACTTGAGCATTTTGTAGCCTGTAGCAAAACGCATCTCGCACAAAAAGTACTTGCGCTACTTTTCAGGCAGATCTGAACGTTTTGTCCCCATAGAGTTGAATAGAAAATGCCTGAACGGTGGAAATGAGCATTTTTTTCAGGCGTTTTCAGCTCTATTGGCTACAGTAAAAACTCCTAAATAGAAAATGCCTGAAAAATGCCTACATTTGCAAATTTGCTCAAAAAAGCTCAAAGATGCCTGAAAAAAAACACTTGAAAAAATAAAATACCTGAAAAATGCTCAGCTCCGTGCGAATGGAGCCTAAAAGAAAACATGATTCATCATACTAGGCCACCCTCTTCCATTGCTCCTTGGTCTAGTTATGGTCATGTGCCCAATGTCAGGGCTCCCGGGTATGACCAGAGGTGTGTGACTGACGCAGGGAAACGCAGACTTCAGATATGTTATAAACAATATAATTTATTAACACTAACAATACAAACATAAACGCAGTGCAATACTAAAACATAACACAGTGCAAACAAACCAAACCAACCACCCACAGATGACAGTACATACAATGCAAGCGTCTTTAGGCAGGCCGGGTCAATATCAATCGGGCAGGTAGGTACAGGGGGAGCAAGCGGAGAATGGTCGGGGTCATGAGCCAGGTTCAGCAGGTAGCGGGCAGCGTGGTACAGAGGGTCAGGCAGAGGGATGGTCAGGCAGGGTCAGCAACAAGACAGAAACAGGAACAGGATGCAGGATGCAGGAACAAGATACAGGGCCCAGGAAAAACACACACCAAGGCAGAGTCTGCAGGTCTGGCCATCCCTTAAATACACCAGTATCAGCAGTTTCAGGTGTTTGGCTGGCTGCAAGGTTGAGTCTCTGATTGCTGGGAGCACCCGCTGGCCAGCCCTGGTACTGCAGCCCATAAGGCAGGTGAGTCCCACCATTGCTGGCCAGTCCATTCCTGACACCCACTGTAGGTGCTATTGGCTGTGGAGACATGTCAGCATCTGCAACTACACAGCCCTATATATAACAAACTGTGATGCCCATTTTTTCTGCTTTCAAAACATCAGCTTCATGAACAACATGTTTACTTCCTATCCAATGTATCCCACTAACTTTCAGATGCCATTGTAACAAGATAATCAATGTTGTTCACTTTACCAGTCAGTGACCTTGATGTTACGGGTGGATGTAACAAGTGGCCATAATAGAGACATGGAAGCTGTACGTGACAGCCATCTTGTTAAGGTCTCAGCATTTTGGTTTCATGAGAGATCACATGGTACAAGGCTATTCACAACAGCCTTGTACCATGTGACAAGCTGTGACCAATCACAGCTCGCACAGTATTTCTCAATGGCTGCAAGAATGCAGCCAGAGAGAAGGAGAAATTATTGCTTTTACAGCCTTTATGTGTGTAAAAGAAATCAGTGTAAAAAGAAAAAAAAAAAATCTTCATTACCCCCCACAAGTAGTACAGTGTCACTATGGTGACACTGTACTGCTAGGGTGACAGTATGTTAAAAAAAAAAAAAAGCATAAATAATATAAAAAAAAAAAAATGTAAAAAAAGTTTTTTAACATATAATTTTTTGGTTATAAACTAATTTTGGTTATTTGTTTTTACTAAAAAGATAACTGAATACATTTTGGCCAAGATTTATGAAGAAAGATTATTTATTTTCATAATTTTAAAAGAAAAACACTTTATTTCAAAATATTTAGACTTTTTCATTTATATAGCGAAAAAAAAAATCCCAGTGGTGAATAAATACCACCAAAATAAAGTTTTATCTGTCTCAAAAAATGCTAAAAAATTCATATGGGTACAGTGTTGCATGACCCGCGCAATTGTCAGTCAAAGTATGACAGTGCTGAAAGCTGAAAATTGGCCTGGACAGGAAGGAGGTAAAAGTGTCTAGACTTGAAGTGGTTAATTCTTTACAAAAAAAAGATGTTCAGTCAAATGAACATTGGGCTTACAAACTCTGTTTTCATAATGTTACTCCTATTTTCTTGTTACAGCAGTTGGACAGTGGTATGTAAATACGTCTAATATGCACCATTACAGAAATATTATACCCAAAAGCAAACATTAGTTGTATTGCAGCTTACCAATTTTTAGATGTGATGGCTACATTAGTTTTCTTTTTTAGGCTTTTTTTTATTTTCACCTGGTTATCAAGCCAGTAAGTCTGTTGTTTTTTAACAGAACATACTCTCCTACAAATGTATCATTTAGGTGTGTTAAGACAAACCATTTACCACTAACAGGGGTGTCAATGGTCATTTTTTATTTACTCATGTAAAATCTTTATCCAAAAAGGATAAAAAAGAAGAAAAAAAACTGGTGGCTGTAACTTCTCATGTAACTGCAGTGTGAGCTGGAGTTTAGCTTCAATTTGTTAGTGTATCTAAATCTGCTAGTCTATAACACTCCTCTCCCCTAGACTGACAATGCTGCTGCCCAAAGATGCCCTCTGTGCTCCTTCATCCCAGAGTGGGGGCGCTCTCTAATACAGGAGGTGTGGTACTTTTCAGATCACCAGGTGAAAACTGAGTTTATGAAAAGCCTAAAAAAGAAAACTAATGCAGCCACCACATCTAATGACTGGTAAGCTGCAATGTATTACATTTTTTGTTTTGGGTTTAATACCTCTTTAAGGATTAATAAGGAATAAATGATTGGTTACACTCAGGGTCAGACTGACAACTCATGGGGCCCCCGGGCAATAGGGGATCATGAGGCTCCTGTGTCCTTGCCCAAACTCAAAAAAGCCTATGAAAAAGGTACCAGGGGCATCTCATGGGGCCCCCTACTGACCCCGGGCCCTTGGGCAGTGCCCGAGTTTCCAAATGGTCAGTCCACCCCTGGTTACACTCACAAGTACTTTTTTCCCTTCTTTTTTTCCTTTGTACTGGCTTTTTAAAATAACAAATGCAATTATTTTGAGCTTGTATGAATAATTTAATGTACTAGGACATTTTTGGTAATAAAATACATTTAATAGAGGTCTATACATCAGACCAAAAGGGGGGGAAGGGTTTTGTCCGCAAATGATGGACACTTGGAGGCTATGGTATTGTTTTTTTCTAAAAATCATATTTAACAGTTGCAATTCCTCCTATTTTAGATTCATTACTAAACTTAAGGATCTTCACCCTATAAACAAATTTAAAAGTCAACAGCTACAAATACCGGAGCTTCTGACTTTTGAAAAATGCACACCTGTCCCAGGATCCCAGGATGTCCTCACATAACCCGGCTCTTTGCCGTTCTTCAGGTCTAGGTGTTAGACTAGGTGCTAGCATCCTAACTGTGGCCAGCTGAATGGGACTCCTTGCAGCTTCACAGCTGGCTGCCTGCTGCACCCCATGAATGGTCCCCCAATCTCCTGGGACCTGTGACGTGTCCCAAGAGGCTGTGGGGGAAGAAGCGGGGGCCAAACTTCCACTCAAATTGCCGAGGTGATCCGACCGAAAGTGGGAATGGGAGAATCCCCCCCCCCCACAAAAAAAAAAAAAAAACATTTCAAATATGGGAGAAGAGGGGGGAAGGGGAGGAAAAGTGGACCTTTCCCTTTTGGGTGAAGTTCTGCTTTAATATTTGGGAATATCACTTAAAGCTCACTTATGTAGACCCACCCGCTGTAGCTCACTTGAACACCACTTCTTTATTATCCTATAAATTGCACTGCACCCATGTACTAAAGGCAAATAGACTGGTAAAGTGGTTGTAAAGGCTCAAGGTTTTTTACCTTCTTGCATTCTATGCATTAAGGTAAAAATGTTGTGTGCAGCAGCCCCCCCTCCCCAATACTTACCTGAGCTCATCACGATACAGAAATGTGCACAAGAGCCTTGGCTCTCTGGGGACTCTCCCGCCTCATTGGTTGAGCCATTGGCTCCCACTGCTATCAATCACAGGCCATGAGCCAAAGAGGGGAGAGAGGGGGTGGGGCAGAGCCGAGCCTCAAGTCTGTGTGTGAATTGAAAGCACAGCAGTAGCTCGGGAGTGAGCCTGCTTGGGTGCCACCATAAAAAGCTGCTTGGTCCAGGGGCACTCAGCAGAAGGGAGGGGCCAGGAGTGCCAGCAGGAGACCCCCCAAGAAGAGGGCAAAGCCATTACATAGAGCAGGTAAGTATAATGTTTTTGTTTTTTATCATTGCCTTTAATATTATTTTAAATTTGCAAGGGAAGTTGCAATTTGCAAGGGAATTTTGCCCAGAGCTTTGTAATGTGGGGAAGCTCCTCTGACTTCTATCATCTAATCATGTACCAGAATTATTTTTCTAAACTTTTTAATTTCCATTGCATGTGATTGGGTATTCTATTCAAATTGAAAGCAGTTGTAAAGCTCTTTGTTTTTCACTTGTCTCAATCCAGAGCACTGTGTCATGTCTGTCTGCTGCCCTGTTCCTCTGCTATCTGTGAGAGTCACTTCTGACAAGTTTTTCTGACACCAAAAAAAAAAAACTGGTGATGGGAGGGATCTCCAGTGCACAACCTGCTACTCATAGCTTCAGCTCTGATCCTGTGAGCTGTCTGAAGGAAGGAGTATCCTTTCTCTCCAAGCAACTCTCACTGAGCTCTGCAGTGTAACTTCAGCTCCCTTTACACCCCCCCTTCTTTGTAAAAGCTCAGACAAGCTGTATAAATGTTGCACTTT